CAAAATCCCACCCTCTGCCTGCAATGTTACTGTGAATAAACAATGTTACTTTAGGTTTTTATTTACCATATGCAATTGCACATGTTTTAAAGATAAAATAGAATTACTACAGTGTTTTAAAAGTCCATATCCAGTTTAATATGAGACTAGGCTTATTCCTCTTTAGTACTTGTAAGAGTCATTAGACATCTTTCAACTCCCACTAATTACTTTGTTTTTGGCAGACATTAGTGTTTCCTCCTCCTGCTTTTTTGAATAAATCTGAAATTAACAAGTCAATAAACTGACATATTTACAGTAAAAATAACTCGGCTCTCCTGTCTTCTTCCTCCCACTTCTCATATCTCTTAGCAGATGAAAAGGTCATCATTCACCTACAGGCTTTACACACACTGGTGGGGACTTGGGCACTTTCCCTTTGCATCAACCTCATCTCAAGTTGAGGACCTGATATTACAGAAGCTGTTCCTGTCATCTTAGCTTTTGATTAATTACTTTAAATAGTTTAGAAACTGGAGCAAATGCTTCTTTTGAGAAAAAGATATCTGAGAGAGAAAACATGAGTTGCTTCAGTGAACTCCAATTGCTGTGCGAAGTACACAATCATTAAATGCTCCAGGAGCTGCTTTAATTTAAACGTGGGGGGGAAAAAAGCATTAGAAAAGGACAATTTTGGTGTGCCAATTAAAAAATGATGCCTTAAATCTTTAGACCTTTCTTTCCAGCTTACATAACTGAGATGTATGGGGAAAACTAGGGCAGCAAACATCACCTCAGACACGGAGACAGTCCCCAAACCCTGGCACTTGGCTGCTGTGCCAGGGAAGGAGGCAATCTCCCGTGGCTGAGTGATGCTGAGGAGTTCCGACAGCCTGTCTTTGGCACAGTACCCACGCTCTTAACACTACCTTGACATGCCAAAGGCACTTAAAAAAATCACAGTGAAAAGTAGATGTCCAAGTCCTCCAGCTCGCTCCAAACTTCCACAGGAGAATCAAGGCTGAAATGGAATTGCTGCTCAAACAGTACCAGATGCAAAATGCAACTGGTGAGCAGCCTTTGGGCATTTTGTCTTACTGCAAAGGGAATTAAAGCATTTGCTTTCTGTGGTATCTGAGCAAAATTCTCAGAACTGCAAAAGCAAAACAAAGCCTTTAGTGTGTTGCGCAGAAAGGTTAAAAAGGAAATGAGAGTTCTCTTTTCTGAGATGAGGAAATCCCCCCAAACCCACTGCACACACGGAAACACGCATGACAAAAATCGAGGAAAGGAAAAGCACAGGAACTGCAGCTCTTCCACAGCCTGGGGAGATCACTGCTGGCTAACAAGTGCTGGGTTTGCACATCTGACACCCCCTGCACATATGGCACAGCTTCAGTTTTGATCTGGATAGAATAGATCTTTCTAGAAGCAGCAGATTGTCCATTAGGCCCATCAAGCCATCACGGGGTTGGAACTGTCAGACTCACACGGCAGAGCAGGAACAGAGAGCATTATTAAGCAATTATTTCTTCAGCTGTAATGATGAAAGACTTCAGGGCTGAAGTATACAAAGTTCATAAATCAGTGCAAAGACAGCCAGCCTATAAATTGGAAGCTAGTTGGTTAAAACTAAATACAACCACATTGTTTTAACTTTCTTCTTATACAATAAATTACTGGTCATTATTGATTTTTCCTGAAAGAAGAGTCTCAAGGTCTGCAAAACTATTTCTCAAGAATTATCATAATATTTAAACACTGAACTAAAGCAAAAATCCTTTACAACACACGAGGTCAAATCTCATTAACCCAAAAGCCATACACGCATTTAACTCATTAGCTTGTATGAATAAGAAATTTCCTTTTTTCCCCATCTCACAGCTACAGCTGCTCTGCAATGACTCCAAAAGCCCAAAAAGGACATGGATAACTCACACAGCTTTTATCCCATTAGCCACGGTCTGCAGTTCTCATAATCACTAGCTTTGAAGTGTATTAAACAAACCAGAGCACGACCTTAGAGCTGATATTTTAATCACACCACAGAAGAACAATTCTTTTTCACAGATACTTCATTAAGGCCACCAAACAAGATGCTACTGAAAACTACCCAAGCCACAAGCAGGCAAGGAACTATTCTCACATTACTTTATAGCTACAGACCTTCTCCAACACAACCTTTCTGGTGACTGCACTGAGGTATTTACACCTGAAATAAACACATTCTTAATGGGATCAATACATCTGCACATCCCTGTCCTTTTGTACTGCTTCAAATGCCAAGCACAGAGGGAAAATAAGCACCAAAACTTCACCTTTATTACTGAACTATGCGATTAATTTTTTTGTCTTGAAGTGGCTACAGCTTTATGTCCTGGACTATTTCACAAAGAAGTTTATGGAAAATGTGTCCTCCTGTCAATTCAATAATTCAAGACTCAAAGTATTTCCCTCTCTCCTGCAGGAATACATGGCATGTTATTTCCCACACCTCTAAGTTCTGCTAATCTTTAGTTATCTAGTTCACAAGACCATGCTGGGAAGACATGAATTAAACCCAAATTTTTTTGAAGGGATTCCTAAATTAAACTACTCTGTTTTTTTCATACATACAAAGTATGTATATATTCATAAAGACACATTTATCACTAATTACAGCTGACTATACAGACATCTTTCCCTACCATCTGCCCATTATATAGTATCAGAGACATGCAAACCATATAAAACAGAGAAAACCAAACATAAACTTTGAAAACCACGCTTACACACCAATTTTTAGCGTTATTTTGAACACACAGCTCAACTCAGATAAGGACAGCCTGAAGACTCGGTATAGGACAGATGTAGCCTATATTAATTCAGCCTGTGCTTTACACAGACAGAATAATGTATTGCCCACACAGAAAACAAATTGCTAGAAATTATTTTAAAAGGTATTCAGGCACGCCAACAATGTGTCTTCACTGATGAACAGCCCAAAAAACAAATTTGAAATTTTGAGACGTAAAATATCAGTTGCAAAAGCCTTTAAGGAGTGGGGAGTAGTCAGATCTTGCTGTGAAGAATTCCACCACCACTAATCCATTTTCATCACTATGTGCTGTGATACACAAGGTTATAAACTGAACCAAGCTACACATAAATACAACATTTACATCAACAGAATAAATTTCAAGAGAGTTATTACAACAATAGCGCTCCTAGAACTGTTCACCCCTGAATATGAAAGGACTGACACATCCATGAATAACTTTCATCTACATGTGAGCAAATTGCTGACAATGGCAGATGAGGAGACCAACTGAAAGCAAATTTAAAAATCCCAACTCAAACTGGACAAGATGATGTGAAAACACAGGATAGACAGTCTCATGAGGTCAAATTTTGGAACTCATGACTGCCTTTAACAGGAAACTTTACACTGCCACAAGCCTTCACATTGTATTACATCTTAGGCTGCCCTAAGACAACCCACACCTAAAAAAACCCAAAAAAACAAACCATCAACCATTTGTCCCTCCCTTCCCTTGGCAATTATTCCTCATTACACTCAACCAAGCCGGAGTAGTGCTAAAAATTACAATGGATGTAAAATAACCAAGTGTGAATCTGGTACAAGCCTCGTGGTCCAACCCTAAGAACCCCAACCAAGACCTGACAGAATCTGAAAAAGTATCACAAAATTGATGGAAGAGGTAACTATTTAAGTTTTAGCAGCTCTACGACTGCAGCTTTGTAGCTTTACTTAAAACATACTAATTTCACTGAAAGGATAAAATACCATTAAACAGACATTTGGCTCAATCTATGCTACAACATTTTACTAAACAGCTCTCCCCTACACAGAGGGCGTAATTTTCCGTTAGACTAAATCACCAGATCACATCAAAAACGAGGGGAAAACTGAAGAATCTGAGCTCAAAGGTGATTAACAGCACAAAACTCACACACATTATGCAGGTTTTAAGCAGCCCTTTAATACCAGGATGCAAAGAGTAGCTGATATGTGAGAGATCACCCCTCGATCCGATTGAAACAAAAAACGGTGGTGTGGGAAGGAGAAAATTCACGTATGTGTAGCAACAATTCAGGTTCAATCCAATCCTGTTTTCCTGCTTTTCCCCAGCCCGAAGGAGGCGATGTGGATGGGTGACACGCATCGTCCCTCTGCTCCCACAGGCATCCAACTCTTCCCACCCTCCGCAAGAAGTTACAGCCACTGCCCGACAAGTTTAATGCTTCAGCTGCTCATCCCTACCTTCACACTGGGGAATTCGTGTGAGTAACACTAGGGAGAAGCGATCAGCATTTTTTAAAAAGTGAGCGTTAACAGCGACGCATCAGAAATGCGAACCTAGAACTGAGTTGATGCCTTAGTATTAATATTAAATTTTAATCGCTGAGCTCTTCCTACAATGTAATTCGAAAGTTCAAAGCTTATTAGGAGCGGAATCATCCCGACAAAACCCGCACAAGTTTAGTTAATGGCCAGCACTGGGGGCGCACGGACGGTCCGCGGCGCGCTGAGGGAGCCGCCGGGACGGGGCTCGGCAGCGGGAGCAGCCGCTGGCAGCGGGCTCCGGGAGCCCAGACGCGGGCTGGGATGGGGCTGGGAAGGGGCTGGGGGCCGCAGGGACCCGCGGGACACCGGGGCCGGGCTCCGGGGCACGGCACCGCCGCGCTTCCTTCACCCGAGCACAACTCCGCCGGGGCACGGGCTGAGGGCGCGCCGGCTGCGCGGGGCCGGAGGGAGAGCGCGTCCCTGCGCTGCCGCCCGCAGGAGCCCGGAGAGCTCCGGAGGGGCTCCGGGCTTGCCGGCAGCTCCCCGCCGCTCATCCCACGTCGGAGGAGCGGCTCCGATCCCCAGCGCCTCCTCTCCCGTGGCAGCGGCGCACCCGTCCCTCCCTCCGCCCCTCCGGGGACCCCCGCACCGCCGCTTCTCTCGGTGTAAGAAACGAGCCGGAGCCGCCCCGTTTATTGGGTCACGCAGCCCCACCAAGGGACAGCGCACTCACCGGCGCTGCCACTGCCGCTGCCGCCGCCCCGCCCGCTGCCCGGCGGTGCTGCCGCCGCTCCGCGCTCCGCCGCGGCTCTGCCGTGCAGGGAGGGCTGCGCTCGGCTCCTCCGAGCCCCGCTCCGCCCGGGCGCTGTCCCCGCCTCGGCCCGCCCCGCCGAGCGCTCCCGCCCCCGCTCCGCTCGGCATTGTGGGGCTTGTGGTCACGGAGGGCGGACTACGAGCCCCAGGGCCCCGCGCGCGGTTCCGGACAACGCCTGGTGTGTGGTAACACCGCGGATCTTCCTCCTCCTCCTCCTCCTCCTCCTGCTGCTGCTGCTGCTGCTGCTCCTCGCGGGCGCTTCCGGCGCGGCGGCGGCGGCGAAGCCCCTCGGGAGCAGCGGGGGCTCGGCGGGCCGGGGCAGGTGAGGTGCCGAGCCCTGCCCTGCCCGGCTCTGGCCGCGGGGCCCGCGGGGCTGCGAGAGCGGCGGCCGGGCTGAGGGAGCGGCCGAGGGCGGCCTGGCCGTGCGGGGAAGGTGCGCGGGTGTCGCTGCCCCTCCCGGCCGGGCGGTGACTCCTTCCTCCGGCCCTGAGGCAGCGCCCGCGGCTTGTCCTTCCCCCCGCCCTTCCCCGGGGCCGGGGCCTGGCCCCGCTCCCCTCTGCCCGGCCTGGTGCTGGTTCGCTCGGCCCGGGCCCGGCAGGCGCAGGCCCGGATGTGTTTTATTTTTGTGTGAATTATTTTTAGCTCGTCCTCCCGGAGCGGAGAGCTGTCAGGTGGCTGCGGCGGGCAGGGAGAAAGGGCGCCTCGGCTCTTTTCGCCAGGGGAGGTGGAACATTAGGGGGAAATTATTCACATCAAGGGTGATTAGACATCGCAATGGGCTGCCCTGGGAGGTGGTTACACCGTTCCTGGAGGTGTTTAAGGAGAGGCTGGACGTGGCACTCGGTGCCATGGTCTGCTTGACAAGGTGGTGTTTGTTCAAAGGTCGCACTCGATGATCTTGGATGTCTTTCCCAGGCTAATTGATTCTGTGATTCCTCCTCCGCAGGGGCTGTGTCCCCTTGGGGACCGAGCAGTCAGGGCTGGGGTGTCCCATTAAGTTGCTCACTGAACTGGTGAGTTGGGTTGGGGTTTTTCCTGTAGCTCGCACATACCGGGTGGCTGAAACCTTGTGCTGTTCCTGTTAACCAGAGGAACTAATTCTCCTCTGGTATTTGTTCGCACGTTGGAATGTATTTTTGTCCCTTTGGAGCTGTGTCATAGCGATTTGTGTTTGGTAAAGTAATGGCTTCACTTTCACATTCCCAAAGAGGTGAAAAAGAAAGAGAAATATTATGTTGTTGTGGTTATATATTGCAACCTTCTTGACCTGTTTCAGTGACGCTGTATAACAGTTCTGGTGTTGCTGACTGTTGGAACTGGAGCACAGGCTGTAGGGTCTCATGTGAGACACAGACTGGCTGTATTAGGACAAATTAAAGCCCTTCCATTTTGAGGTCCAGCAGAAAAAACACAGAATAATTATAAGCCTGACTTCAGGCTAGGCTTGGTTTTTGTTTTTTAAGTTGATATGGTTCTAAAAATAGACATCTTGGATTTATCACAGGTCTGTGTCATTTCTGAATTAGTCATAGAACTGCTCTTACAGTAATCAAATGCATAAGTAGTTCTGCTTTGCCAGAGTGAATTTCACTGCAGGTGACTGTTACACGTGTGTAGAGATGTTTGAAAACTTCATTTCTGTTCTAGTGAGAGGCATTTGAAGACACTTCCAAACTTCAATGCTATTTGCTGGTGACATTCCTTTTATTAACTCTGCAGTGAAACTATTTGGTGTAAGAATCAGTGGGATGTGGAATCAGTTCAGTAGGATGCCTTTTAATCTCTTGCTATTGTTGCTGATTTTAAAATACAGATTTTTATCCTAATACTTGATCTGTATGCTAATCCCAGTGAATCCACCCCTGCTCAGTTTTAAAAAGAAGGAAAGTAATTCTGTATCTGAAACACAAAGCTTCGAAGCTTTGTATCAAATAATCTGAGTTATACAATGGAAAATAAATCAGTTGATAATTAAAATACAGTGGCAGGTAAGGTAACATCTGACCAAAAAAAAAAAAAAAAAGATGTGTGGGTTAGGGTGTTTTGTTTTTTTTTTTAATTCAGGTTACCATTAATGACAGAAACAGAATTGCCAAGATAGGTGTGTGGTGTGTATATAGTAAAAAGAGCATCTTCTGCAATTTTTTTTACTTCCATAAACTTTACAACAGCAGTAGTGAATTACCTACACTCCCTCCTCCCATGCACATTGGACTTACATCTTGATTCAAGCTCTGCCTCTGAATTCAGCTGGAATTTATGCTGTTATTTCCCTTCCCTCACTCTTTCTTCCCGGACTTGAATGGATTTTTCTGGTAACTCGGGGATCTCAGATCAGCTTAAAGGTGAAACCTGTTCTTGAATCCTCCCTGCAAAAAGTGGAGCAAACCTCTTGGCAGTAAGGTAGTCTTTTTGTGCAGGAATGGAGCTGTGATTTTTGCTAGAAGCCAACCACTGAAATAATAATATTTGTAATCCCTGCCTTGGGCCTTGTTCCTCTGTAGTACTTTTCTAAAAAAGAATATTAATGTCTAAGCGCTTACTAGATCTAGGGTAGATGGAGCCTGGAGAAGGGAATAGAGACAACATCAGTGCAGAGGTAGATCTGCTGATGACAGAGCTGAAACCCTGCCAATTGATACCAAATGTTTCTGTTGGTTTAAAACTTGAAAAGTTGAAATCATGGGAGTCTGCTCTCTTTGCTTTAAGCACTGCTTCAGAAGATTGTGTTACACAAACACCTTCCTTTGATGGGAACCTCGCTCCTCTTCAGCCTGGCCTAGGAGCAGGTGTGGATTTGGGGAAGATCCTGCCTGCTGTAGTTTCATGGTGATGGTTGTGTTTTTATTAAACAGCTCTGCTGGATTGAAGTGCATGACCAAAAGTCTGTCAGTAAATGACACACATTAGAGAAAGCAAATTGTCACCTTAGACACTGACAATGGTGGTTGTACATCTAGGAAGTGTGGTGGTTTGTGCTCTTCACCCTTTTTGGCAGGAGTTGGATTTTTGGGGTTTTTTTTCTGCTAAAGTTCAGTTGAATGATTTAAAATGTCATCGGGTGGCTATGGGGGAATAGGTCTGTCAAAGAACCTTTCCAAATCTATTCCTCATCTAAAATATACCAGCTCTCTCCATGTTTGCTGACTGGCTGGGATCATATTTTAGCGCTGAGACTTAAAGGTTAGAATGTAAGATTTATCCTGACAGTGAAAGCACATATTCCATGTTGGTGCATCTCTTGGAATCCAGCCTGGTGTGTTTGATGGGTCAGGCCTGAGCAGTCAGGGTTGTATTAACTGGTATTTTAGCACAGTTGACAAATCCAGATTCTGTTTCAGTTCCCTGTATCTTTCTGTAGGTTCTCTCCCAGGACTCTCCTTGCACACCCGGAGGTTTGGGTTGTGGGGTCCCTGTAACAAAAAGGGGGATCAGGCTGACACTTGGTACCTGACACTTCAGTATTTGGCAGTATCCTGCTATCTTCTCCTCATCTCAGACCAATTAACAAGTTTGTCAGCAGAGTAACACCTTTCCCACATCTTACAGTATGTCCAGGATTTTCTCAACTCCACCACTCCACTGTGCTGCCCTAATAAATCACCTCCTCATGGAATCTTATTCCACCTTTTTTGAGAATGTAAAATAAACCAGATGACAGATGAAACTGGGGTAAACTCCTCTCAAAGAAAAGGCTCTTTTGAGATTGGAGGAATTGAAGTTAAGCTGTTACAAGACACTGTCAGGAAGTCTGGCAGCTGTGCAGAGCTGCTTTTGATCACATCCTAAAAGAAATGCTGAAAGCTCCTCCTTGCTGCTGATAATGTGCATTAAACTTTGGCTTGAGTCAGGCCATTTTGAAGGTTAGTGGACTTGCTGATAATTGATCTTAAATAGAAGAGAAACTTCAGTTTTCATGAGAATTTAGTCCCTAATCAAGATTGAGACCACCTTCAAGGATATTTGGATGTGGTTTAGTGCAGCTATGACAAACTGACTTTCAGTAACACAATGAACACAGAGTTTTTGTGAAGATAATTACACTTTATATTTAACACTAGCAATGACTGAATTGAATAAGTTACATCCAACAGATGTGAAGTTGATTCCTAACTGTAAAGATAAACAGTTTGAGAATTTTAGCAGTCAGGTCCTTCATGACACTGTGATGCTTCCTAGTGTATCTTCTGGAAAACAGGAAGATTTCAGAAATAATGAACAAGCACTGTGATAAATTGAATAGATTTCTTTTCATACCTTGGCAACTAAAAGCATTTGGTGTTCTTAAATATTTCTTGAGTGCACATATATATAAACCCACCTCTTCAGTTGCAAAATTGGTATCCTTTGTGTTAAGATAAATCCAAGTGTTGTTTTTTTTTTAGGAGTGTCAGTATCTGGAAAAGGGGTAATAGATAATATATAATTGTTTTTATGTGAGGGTTTTAACTGTACCATGGATTAGTAGCAATAGCTTATGGTTCTTCAGGAGAAAATGAGTTCTTCATGGTGGCTCACAGTGTAATAGGTTTTCATCATCATAAAAATCCATCATTTCACTTAGTATTTCCTTTTGTGTGTGTGTGGATACTGCTAACCCATAAAAACAAAGTAATTATATCTAATGACAATTTTGTCCTTTTTTGCCCTTCTTCCTGTGATAAAAATCTTTTGGGTAGAACAATGTTCAGTGACCTGATTTAACCATGTGAAAAACTTACTCTGAGACTACAGATAAAAACATGCTATAAATTCATCTGTGAGTGCAGGTGGTGCTTGTCAGCTCTGTGAGTGGCCACTCACTGAACTTGCAGAAAGGAGGAATTAAACAGCAAAACAAACAGATCTCCATCCAGCAGGGAATACACAGGGATCATAAATGGGACAGCTTGTACCTGCAGTAGGGAGTGCAAACTTGTTCAGACAAGTTCCCTCCCCCCATGTGAGCAGACCTTGCATGAATTTATGTAACTGAAACAAGTTCTTGGGAAAACACTC